TATCTATTCATCAATCAATCCATTCATTCATCTATCTATCTATCTATCTATCTATCTATCTATCTATCTATCTATCTATCTATCTATCTATCTATCTATCTATCTATCTATCTATCTATCTGTCTGTCTGTCTGTCTGTCTGTCTGTCTGTCTGTCTGTCTGTCTGTCTGTCTGTCTGTCTGTCTGTCTGTCTGTCTGTCTGTCTGTCTGTCTGTCTGTATGTCCTTCTGTCTGTCCATCCATCCAGTCATCCGTCGTATACATCCATCCATCCATACATCTATCTATCTATCTATCTATCTATCTATCTATCTATCTATCTATCTATCTATCTATCTATCTATCTATCTATCTATCTATCTATCTGTCTGTCTGTCTGTCTGTCTGTCTGTCTGTCTGTCTGTCTGTCTGTCTGTCTGTCTGTCTGTCTGTCTGTCTGTCTGTCTGTCTGTCTGTCTATCTATCTATCTATCTATCAATCTATCTATATGTCTGTCTGTCTATCTGTCTGTCTATCTATCTATCTATCTATCTATCTATCTATCTATCTATCTATCTATCTATCTATCTGTCTGTCTGTCTGTCTGTCTGTCTGTCTGTCTGTCTGTCTGTCTGTCTGTCTGTCTGTCTGTCTGTCTGTCTGTCTGTCTATCTGTCTGTCTATTTGTCTATCTATCTATCTATCTATCTATCTATCTATCTATCTATCTATCTATCTATCTGTCTGTCTGTCTGTCTGTCTGTCTGTCTGTCTGTCTATCTATCTATCTATCTATCAATCTATCTATATGTCTGTCTATCTGTCTGTCTATCTATCTATCTATCTATCTATCTATCTATCTATCTATCTATCTATCTATCTATCTATCTATCTATCTATCTATCTGTCTGTCTGTCTGTCTGTCTGTCTGTCTGTCTGTCTGTCTGTCTGTCTGTCTGTCTGTCTGTCTGTCTGTCTGTCTGTCTGTATGTCCTTCTGTCTGTCCATCCATCCAGTCATCCGTCGTATACATCCATCCATCCATACATCTATCTATCTATCTATCTATCTATCTATCTATCTATCTATCTATCTATCTATCTATCTATCTATCTATCTATCTATCTATCTATCTATCTATCTATATTTAAATTTATCTAACTTGTTTGTTTGTTTTTTAATTTTTTAATAGGTATTTTTATGAGTAAGTTGGAAAAAAAACATGCTCTGAATTGTTTACATAATTTTGAACTGTTGTAAAAAAAATGAATTCAATTAATTTTCTTTTCGGATTAGTAGCTTTATTAATCTGGGATCGCCACAGCAGAATGAACCGCCAACTTATCCAGCATATGTTTTATGCCGCGGATGCCCTTCCAGCCGCAGCCCATCACTGGTAAACTACCATACATACTCACTTACACACACACACACACACACACACACACACACATACACACACACACACACACACTTAAACACTATGGTCAATTTTAGCATAACCAATTCACCTGTACTGCATGTCTTGGACTTGTGGGGGAAACCAGAGCAACTGGAGGAAACCCACATGAACACGGGTAGAACATGCAAACTCCACACAAAAATGCCAACTGACCCAGTCGAAGCTCGAACCAGCGACCTTCTTGCTGTGAGGCGATTGTGCTACCCACTGCACCACCTTACATAAATATGTTACATCAAATAATTTATAATATTTTTTTTCCATTCTTTGAAACTGTATTTTAATAAAAATTGTGTGACATTAAAGAAGACACTAAATTTTTTTTAATTTAAAATACATGATTTGTGTATAAAATCACATACTATGCCGACAGAATATGTAAATAATGTTTTACTAAATATACGGTTAAATGACCAAAATACAGCATGTTATACTTAAGATTGTTGGTGATTTCTCCGGTAAGGTGAAAGTGAGTGACAGATGCTGAGGGCTTCTTTCCGCTAGATGTTTTGAACACGGCTGTAGGGATTTTCTTTGGCACTAAGGTCAAGCACTGAAGTTCCAATTCATCCCAAAGGTGTTCAGAGGGGTTCATGTCTGGGCTTTGTGCGGGCTAGTAAACTTCTTCACACTCGGTAAACACATTCCCTCCTGCCATCCAATCAAAAACCACTCTACAGTACATTCTGTTAATGTCTGTCTATGGAGAGTGCATGCTTACACACATGTTAATAGCCAAATGCGCGTGGAAAGCTAAGCATGTTTTCCTTCTCTCTTTTACAATATGTACACCAAATTATCACTGACACACTCCAGCTGTGTTAATTAGAAATATATTATTTATTGGGGGTCCTCCCAGAGTCATTAATGAAATCCACAGTTTGTGCAAAATGGATTATTTATATTCAATGTTTTGTCCACACCAATTAAACATCTCTTCCCCCAAGCTATCACAGCTTTTCAAAATAGAACCATCTATAATAGGGCACCATGTTGTTTTTTCCCCCCTTTTTTTCTTCCTCTCTCGTTTTCTCTTTCTTTACGCACACTCATAACATTATTGTGTATAACTCGCTTATGACTCACTCCTTCTTGAGTATCGTGGGCAGAATAATTAGAATGCCATCATGAATTAATGAAGCCCTCCCTTTTTTTTCTCCTTCATCCTCAAGGTCTCCGCATCATGCGTTTTATCTTTGAGGATGTGTGTTTTTTAAGTCCTTTTATGTGTGTATGCATTATCATTTTTAAAGGCCAGTATTGTGCAAATATCATTTTGTATTTGAATACTTTGAGCAGATTTTTCTTTTGACCCACATAAAAAAACAGGTGTTCAATTTTGCATTGGTTTGATAACCATTTAAGAATGAAAAGTTGAGCCTAAAAGTAAATTGTATTGTTTTTAAAGAGCCTCTATTATGAGTTTTTGAAAATGGCCAGTGTGTAACACAGCTCTAAGTGAAGTGAAATATCCAGCTAAGGCTTAAATCTGAAGGTGCACCATTCATTCATTCATTCATTTTCTTGTCGGCTTAGTCCCTTTATTAATCTGGGGTCGCCACAGAGGAATGAACCGCCAACTTATCCAGCAAGTTTTTAGCAGCGGATGCCCTTCCAGCCGCAACCCAGCTCTGGGAAACATCCAAACATACACACACACATTCATACACTACGGACAATTTAGCCTACCCAATTCACCTGTACCGCATGTCTTTGGACTGTGCGGGAAAACGGAGCACCCGGAGGAAACCCACGCGAACGCAGGGAGAACATGCAAACTCCACACAGAAAAGCCAACTGAGCTGAGGATCGAACCAGCGACCCAGCGACCTTCTTGCTGTGAGGCGAACGTGCTACCCACTGCACCTCTGCGTCGCCCGAAAGTGCACCATGTTTAAAACTATTGATTCATCTATATAAGAGTTGACTCATTGTAGTTCGAATGAATTGCCACAGTAACTAGTCTTGAGCCATGTTGGTGTTGGCGTGACATTGATACGGAACTCCAGCCCCACTTATTTGTTGCACGTGCAGACCCAAGAAAACCCGGGCCCCGCCCACAAACACTGTAGAAAGAAAAAGAGAAAGACAAACACAGTAACAGATCACGGCTAAATCATGTCGTGTAGACGCTGTGCTCTGGAGTGTAAGGGAAAGTTAGCGTTATTTTCCCTACCCAAAGATGAGGCTGTGAAGAGTCAGTGGTTGAAGTTTATTTTTGCAAAAATACCTCAGCATTATAGCCCCAGCCTTGTGCTGTGTCACCGTCATTTTTCTGACAAGTGCTTCAGCAAACTACACGATTACAATGGGGGATTCATTGACCATTTGCTAAAAGAAGGATCAGAGAAGACTATGGATGTATGGGACTTTGTCAGTGCTTGAACGGAACTTTACAGTACACAGCTCATAGATCAGTTTCTTCCACCATTTCACAAGTGTAAGTAAGTGAGATTAAAATGGCTGCCTCCTTGTTTTCTCTAGCTTGCAAATTATGTATTTAATTGTGTTTTGTTACTTGTAACTGCTTGTACTGTCTCTGGTTAACTCTTTATATTCTCATTTTGCGTCTAAAACAATGTTGAAAATGCGACACATGCTGCGTTGTTTACGGATTTAAATGTGCGTTCGTGAGCTCGCGATCTACTATTATTTGTCGTTGTTATGACCACTGTCAGCTATTCATGTGCGACGGTCAAGTTTCAAAATAGTTCAGCTTTTGCCATTGTGTGGATTAATACTGAATTTGTGTCATTGTTTTACTTTTGGTGAAGAATAGAGCAATATGCTGGTGTTAAACTGCATTGCTTTAATGCACTCCTGCATTGGGTTCACACATACACTCTGCACTCTGACTACTTCAAAGTTGTTGGTAAGCCGTGGTGAGCAGTTCTTGCACTGAACGCAGTTGACCAATCATAATAGACTGGGTCATCGGACCGATCAGGGCAGATTAGCAACGTGCTAAGGAGGAGTTTGGGAACAAATGAATCGCTGGATGAATCTTATGAGAGTCATTTGGATAATTAGGTAAAAATAAATCATATTATAAAAAAAATGAAAGTGTTTTTTTTTTTTTTACCTTGCATGCATATCACACTGTTGTTAGAGACCACCAAAACCATAATATAACCTTTTTTTAATGCATAATAGGGGTTTTTAAATGGAAAATATTTATGAAAACTTGTCCAACTACATCTTTTGGGGAAGAAAAACATAAATACAAAATTTCAGCAACTCCCTCATTCCTCCTAAAAAACATTTTGACAGCAACTTCTTGAAGGTAAGGGTTTGACAAGACAAAAGATTCATAGCTATGTGCAAAAACCTTCAAAACTCTCTCAAAATTGCACTCTTTTTCCTGAAATGGTCTCTGTAAGAATGTCTTGAACGTCTTGCATCACCCTTAAAATCTCTCCAGATGTCTTGAGTCTTAAATAGCCACAAAGCCCGATGCTGTTGTACTTTTATCTTGTCAAAAAATAAAACGGTTTTGCTGATTGCTGGCTTAAAGTCACAGAAGCACTCTGGAGTAAATATCACATGTTTGCTTTGTAGGATTGCTGTATTGGAGAGTGGAAGCCTTCGGATATCCAATGTCAGCAAATCTGATGCTGGATCGTACACATGTGTCGCCCATAACCAGTTTGGTGAAGCCAGCAGCTTAGGAAACCTGCTTGTGAAAGGTATTTGCTTCAATTATTTGCTGTACAATTGGAAGATTGTTTTGGTTTATTACAGTTGTTTGTTATATAAAGTTGGTCCATTAAAATAATTACAAGTGGCATCTGATTGTGGAAAAATGGGGTTGAAAGTCATGTCTAAATTAATTTATTTTGTCACATCTTCATCTGATATATAGCAGGGGAAACAAAATATTCAACAGGTCACAATTTTTCTCAGAAAACATATTTCTAAAGGTGCTGTTGACTTTTGAAAGGTGCTGTTTTGACTTGAATTTTCAGCAGATGTTGGTAACAACCAGTGAAATCCATATATAAAGAAAACAAATCTAGTTCCAGTGGTAACAAATTATAAATACTCAAGATACTGTAACTGAGTAGTTTTTCTCAGGAATTGTACTTTACTAAGTAGTTTTATAAATGTGTACTTTTACTTTCCCTTGAGTACATTCTTAGTGCAGTATCGGTACTTTTACTCCACTGCTTTCCTTCAACCTACAGTCACAACTTTATTTCTTTCTTGCATATAATGATTGACTAAAGTAGAAAAATCAGTCCTCTGTTTCCTGTCCAGTCAAATCGCACATAGAAAGTAAATTGCATCATACTGAGCAACCTCAATACATAGGCGCTTTATAAATGCAGCAAACCTTTTGGAAGCATTAAGAGTGTTCAAGAAGATGTCCAAAATCTTTACACGCAATGATGCACAGACTTTTTAGAGACCGTATCTCACTGAGGAGAAAATGAAGGATGTCGACTGTATGATGACTGAAATCACCAAACAGCCTTAAACAATCACTAAATGGAACGGATGAAAAATGGGAAGAAAAAACTGAACGATGGAAGAAACTAATGAAGGATCAAATAAATGAAGAAAAGATTCAAGGAAGGACTGAACAAACAAAGGAAGGAATGAAGGAGGGATGGAAAGAAGGAAGGAAGAAAGGAACAAATGAATGAACGAACAAACAAACAAACAATCTAATGAAGGAACAAAAATATAAACAAACAAATGAAGGACCAGATGAATGAACAACAAGCACAAATAATGTGTCCACATCATCTCACTTAGTGGGAGCAGAGTATTCGCCAATTGGCAGAGTATATTTGAATAAGACCCACCTTCTAAATAGTGTATTTGAAGTGTTGCTTGTGAGCAGCGTATATTTCAGAGCGCGCATAAAGTTTTGTGCACAAACAAAGGAAATCAGAGCATAAGCAAAAAGATTCAGATGCTCGTATTTAGTGGTGTAACGGATCAGAAATCTCATGGTTCGGATCACATATAGTTTTTTTAGTCACGGATTTGACCATTTTTCGGATCAGTCAAAAAGGGTGGAGACAAATAGAATTTGCTTTCCATTTTCACAAAAACAGTACCGCAAGAAAGTTTTGGTTTCAACAAACAGAACTTAGAAGCTGTAACTTTGTTAAAAATAAAATTAAGAAAAAAATCAGCTGAATAAAAATAAATTGTAAACTATTCAGTAGTGTGAAAGATTCACTGTTACAACTACTGTTGCTGATAGCTCTAAATGTATAAAGTGTATATTTAGTACAAAATGTACTGTATAGTTAAATATATATTTAATCTAATTTTCACTAAATGATTTAGTTATTCACTAATACATGTTTCATTGCCAGATGTATCATTTTTAAAGAATTATTCAGGTGCATATTTTTTAATGGCTGGTTGTCGCCACCTATTGGTTAAATGATAAAATTGCTGCCCACAACTTTTATTTTTGAGCGTCGTTAAATGCACATGATGGTCATCTTAGAATTTACCATAAACATCAGTGGTTTTTATGAACTATTTTTATGAACTATAAACTATAACATTAATAAACATATTAAAATCACCATCATGTATAATTTTTGTTGTTGAGATCCTGATCTTTTAATGATGTGCAGCTACACTGGATGCATTAATGCAGGCTTAACAAGTAGTGACATTAAACACATTTATTAAACTAAGAAACCCACCACATCCCGAATAACCTATCACGGCATCTTCCTTCATCTTTATATTTTACAGGAGAGCCTAAATTCTTTCATACAAGTGATTTGAATGCAGCGAGAGGCAATCTCTCTGCGATTTGTTACAAATTTAGGATTAATCTACTAGTAAAAAATGTATTAATTTGTGATCCGTATGAATCAAGGATCAACCATGATCCGCTACACCCCTACTTGTATTATATAAATGTGCTCTTGACTTGTAATTTGCTCACGACATTTATTATTGAAATAACGCCATATATTTTGATTTTGGATTGAACCCATCATGAAACTGTGTGGAAGACTGTACTTTCTTCACCATCTTTAAGCAACCATTGGTTGTGCTTTCCAAGGAGCCACTTAAGAACTGTTTATGTAGGTCTGATCTGTTTCTCCATTAATAGAATTTATAACAATTGCTATACTGTTTGGCTGGTTTGTGCTTGTTTAAGTGAGTTAGTCTATCGTTATTAATGAAAATGTGTATAATCCATACAATATGTGAAGCTGATTGGTTGATTCTTGTCACATGACATGCAGTGCACCTTGGTATATTGATTAATATGTTAATATGTATGGAATTAATATGTTTTTTAACTCGCTACACTATTGGCTCAGTGCCGCACCATCTCCATTTGAAATAATGAACACGAGCGCACAAGAGACCTGGTAGGTATCACACATCCAGCCCAGTCTTTTTTATATGCTCATCTGTATTTTGTCTAAGTAGGGTATACCTTCCAAAGCTATCTGATCTTATCCAAGTGCAATCCTTTTATTTCCTAATGAGATGAAGGAGTGTAGTGTCAGAACAGCAGCATGGGGAACCCGGAGGGACCCAGATCACACTTGTGTTGAGTCACTGGAGCAGTGAGTTATTATGCTGTATTAAATATGAATGAGAGGTGGGTGTGCGGAGCTGAGCGTGTTCACTTAGGAGTGTTCTAAGGCTGTGGGGATTTTCAGGATGTAAGCACAACTCAGCGGAGGTCTCCGTACTCTGCAACGTGTGTGTTTTACCTCCCTCACCGCTCTCTGGTCTTTCCTCTTTTTCTCCGGTGATATTTCTGCAAATTAGTTTCATAAAAAGCATTTCGGCTGCAATTAATAAAATGGGATGCCTGTGTACAGATTCTGATGTAATTGGGATCTCTTGAACTTAAGATGTGGAAGGTTGTGGGTGATTCAGAATTTAATTGAGACTGAAATCATGGCTTGACAAATTCTTTTGTTCAGGGTATGTTTAGACATCATCCGTTTTTCCGACTAAAACTATTTTGGCTATTCATTTAAAATACAATGGCATTCTGTTGCCAGATCTTGGTGGAAAATCAGCAAAAAGGAACAAGTCCATTACAAACTGAGGAAAATCCAAATACTCATATAGAGACTAGTACCAGTAAATCATTATCTGCATCTGACCACTTTAATAACTCTAATAAACTTGATTGATTTATGAGGCAAACCTCAACAACAAGCCCACAGATGGCTGTAACAAGTGGAAATGGTAATAGGAGCTCAAAAACCACAACACATCTGTTGTCAGGTTTGTTGCTGTCATATTAAATTGATCAAAAATAGTGAATACCTAAAACACAAACCTACTGACTGCTACTATGATTGCCAACCATGCAGTTTCGTCATGCTCTATAGGCTTAAAAACTGAACAATTTTTGGGAATTTACTGGTCTAGATGGGTTTTAAAGTGTTTATAGCATTACTTAACCATATCCATATGCTATTTCTTAAACTATACAGTTTTATACTTATATTACATGTTTGCTGAATGATAATTAAAGAATTTAAAGAGTCACGAAACACTAAAACACATTTTTTGAGATGTTGACATTCATATATGTGTCACACGTTGCTAAAAACACTATTAGGACACATATATTTCACAAAAAGAGAAAATTGGTTGTTTTTTTGTTGTTCTGGGAAAATTTGTTCTTCTAGTTTAAAAAGAATCGCCCTCAAGGCAATTAGATCCTTGTGTAAATTCCAGTGTGGAGACTGGATGTCTCTACCGGTGGGTACAACATGACGTCTTTCAGTTTTCATCAGTAATTCAAGAGATAGACTTGGTTTGCACCAATCAACGCGCTCTATTGTGAACTTCATTAATGATATACATGATAGCTTCGAAGACTGTTTTTACTTGATACAATGTTCAGACGGCAGAGAGACGCCATGTTGTGTTGCCAACCCTAATAAAAACAAGTGGAGGAAGAAGAATTGTTATGAGACATGGGTCAGCAGTGTTGCGTTTATTAATGTGCTGCAACAAAGGTTTTGTTTTCAATTCCCCGCTTTGAGAGCACAGCTGGACTTACATGTGGATTATAGTGGTCTGCTAACATGCGACAAAAAGTAAAAGTATGGCATTTGTAAGGAAATTTTTTTACCTAAGAGCTTTTCGCATCTGGACATGTTGAAATCCAGATTTGCCACTCATCTCCTTTATAAAAAAGAAGCAGTTCCAGTTGGTGTTGATTGTCCTTTGTCTACGGATTTGGTAAGTGTGTGATTAGTGTCTTTGTTTATGTTTATTCAGATGCCAAAGTTAGTTGGTATCATCAGCAGTACTCTTTTAGTTTTTAAAGTACCTTGGTACCTTAGTCAAAATGATTTAGTCACTAAGTTTACAATACATTAATGTAACTACAATATTATGGGCTGAAAGATCCGCTGTATATGTTGCTCTCTGAATGTAAACATGTAAACACCTTAATCTAACTATTACTGCCGTGTAGGATTTTCGCCGCATTTTGTGACAGAATAGTCTATACACATACAGCTCTCTGTTACTAATCTCTGCCCCTACCGAATGCATCTGAGTTACAGAGAAATGCGGAGGGTTTTTTTTTTCTTCCATATTATTATATTACAAATTCCATTTTAACTATCCAATAGCTTGTTTGTCATGGGGGGGGGGCATGCTTGAAATGTTCCTGAATAAAAGTGAAAGTGCCAAACTGCAGTTAAAGTTGACAATTTGA